GAGTATGGATTCTGTGTCGTCCCCCGTACGTCGTACGGGGGGTCTCCGTACGGCCTAGACGTACGGACGTACGGACGACGGCCGTACGAGGGTGATTTGGCGCCCAAAAAAAAGTTAAAAAAAAAAAAAAAAAAAAAACCCAAAAAACAAAAAAGCGCCCCCCCCCCCCCCCAAAAAAAAGTTAAAAAAAAAAAAAAAAAAGCCCACACCATGCACACCGATGCGCACTCTTCACGCACCTACCCGCACACCGGCGCAGTGCGCATTTCAGAGCCGTGCAGCACATTGCGCATCGCGCACGTCTGTGCGCACAGTGGGCAGGCGCACAGCTCATGGGCCCTGTGCAAGTATGACACACACCAATTGAAAAGTGGTTCGAAGTTTTAGAGTGGTGGGAAAACACAGAAAAGAAAGAGAGAAACAAAAACAGCGCAAAGCACAGACCACAGTTTTCTTCCTACCCTTTTTGCTGTTTGGTCTTTTGTTAGTCCAGTTTCTATATTTTGTTCTGGAGTAGCATTTTGAAGCACGGGAGACTGGACCCGTTTTCCAGTACGAGCCTAAGCGGGATATCGGCCCCAGCATTCCCGGTTGAGATGTGGAGGGATTCTCGGCCTCCTTTTGCTCATATAATGAAATCATGCTATTTCTTTAAAAAAAAAAAAAAAAAAAAAAAAAAAAAAAAAAAAAAAAAGTTTTACCTTCTGTGGCCTCTGAATCAAGATGCGGCATTGCTCTGTAATGTGTATGATTAGGAAGTACGCAGGGGCAATCACAGCAGACTGTGCCTCAAAGGCCCTGGACAATTGTAACACCATCCACTTAACCTCCCCTGCACCAAGACGGATCATCGTACCAATCCCCTCCCTCTTCAATAAGCTGATTAAATGGTACAAGTTCCGCACATGGTCATGTGCAGGTTATGGTTAAGTCCTCGCATGCAATCTTCCAGTCCTCATTGTGTGATTACCTTCCTCCCGCCCCTCTGCTCTTGTCCATTGTGAATAGAAGTCATCAAACGCAGCAGTTAAATAGACCATGGCACATAATCCAATCCAATCCAATCCAATCCAATCCAATCCAATCCAATTGTCTTATAACGACTCATTAGAGTCATTACAGAGAAGGAACAGGACGAGCGATTTCACTTACATCAGGCAAGTGCAACTCGTCAGGCACATAAAACACATTCCTCATTGCATATTGTCTCATTAATCCGAGTGCCCTTTCCAACTTTAACTCCTCGGGATCACAAACATCCTGCACAGCCTGCATCAACGATGATATCATCACATGGGAAACACAGAGGCACACAGAGAGAGAGCTGTCTCTTATACACATCTAGATGTGTATAAGAGACAGACTATCAGCGGCTCGATAATCTGGCCTGGCATTGTTGACATTCGTATTCATGACTCGGGTACATTGCACTTTCCCCTCCCTCGTTTTTTTTTCGA